TTTAAGAAAGGTGTTTTAAAAATTTTATAATAATAATTTATAAATTATTTAGCACTAATGAAGAATAGAAAGAAATCTCTTTAAATTTTTAATGATAAAATTTTTTATTCAATTTTAAATAACTCTTTAATGAAATTTACATTATAAAAAATTCGCATCAAATACCTTTTTTTACCCAAAACAAAACCAAGTCTTTTTTTCAAAGAAAAATAAACAAAAAATAAAAAAAGTAAATTTATTAAAATCTAAATAATACCAAAAACCCTCAAAGTTCTTATTAAAACCAATATTATTCTTCTAGACTAATTCCTTTAATAAAAAATATAGCTCGAATATCATAATAATTTTATGGTTTTTTAGAACATACTTGCATTTATTCCATACACTTTCAATATTAAAAAACACCAGTATTTTGGTTCACAAAAGTTTCACTGTGATTAACAGTGAGGTGTAAAAATCACAAATTATTGTTACTAATGTATTCATAAGCACGCCATTCATCAAAGCGTATTACACTCTAAGTAAACAAGTGTTCGATTATCGGTAAAAGTATGATGTTGGATATATTAGGTACAAAATGTAATAAGATTTTAGAAATGTGAATGACAAATCTGCCAAACCAAATAGTTACATCAATCTTTATGACTGTCTGCTACGATGGCACTTTTGTTTATATTTAAATAGACTTTCATTTTTTAAACAATCAAACCATTACCTTCCAGGCAAAGTGGTTTTCTATAACATGTTTTAAACAATGCATTTAAGGAAGATAAATTGTTTTTATAATTATCGTTGTTTAAACGTTCACTTTTGACTCTATCTGCACTTGAGTTTGATTGTTAATTTATATATAACATGTCCCTAGTATGTTACTGAGAGATACATTAAAACTTGATAATAGTGACTCGGTGAGAATAGAAACGTATTTACTGTAGATAAAACTTTATTGTTGAAACACAAAAATAGAGGATTCCTCTATTTTTAGAATATAGTCTTGTTTCCATATTTTGTTGACAAAATACTCGCTTCATGTATCTTTTAAAGAGGCTCTTAGTATGAGGAAACTCTATCAAATTTTTAGTTAGTCTACGTAATAGCAGTTCTAATACACTGCTATACCAATGATTCATGTATTATAAAATTCTCGAAGAATGTATTTTGTTTATATTTTTAGTCCCTTTTTTCCTACGTGTAAAAAAGGGACTAAATATTTATTTTAATAAATTTTAAAAGAAAAAATTAAAGAAATAGTATCAAATGATTCTATAATCTATTGAATCTAGATTATAAAATAATTTATAAAATAAAAAACTACATTTATAATTAAAAGTGATTTGGATAA